CTTTCTTTCTTTCTTTCTTTCTTTCTTTCTTTCTTTCTTTCTTTCTTGTGTGCACATGGTCATTAGTACATAGGTCTTTGAAATAAGGTCATAGATGTGAATGCCAAAATGAGGTTCTTCTAGTTATTAAAAGCTTAGTTACTAAGTGAGAAATAATAAAGGTGTCTCTTAGGACCCGACTGATAGTGATCAACAACGGCCATAACAAACCAGAAACACTCAAGGAGGAGATTCACTAGGAAAGGAAGGTGGACAAAAAGAAATGCCAGTTTTCTGACTTTCTGCATTGGGTTGCCTGGTGGCCTTTTTATTACCTCTGATAAACAGTAGTCATATCGTATGTGGTGTTCTTCGTTGCAGCAGAGGGGAGACTTGCAAGATTTTTGAGCTTTGCTGTTGTTTCCTGAAGTGTGCTTAATATTTCCTAAGTAGTAGAAAGAAGTCTGCGAAGTCTAATGAAGCTATAATGGAGAACTATAATCTAAGTATAATATAGTAAAACTTTATTAATTTGGAATGAATCATAAATAATCACTGTCAGCTGGAGTTTGATTTTTCGTTGCGGAAAAAGGTCTTTCTAAGGAAATGGTATTAAAGAGGTGTTAGTAGTGATGATTTTTTGGGGGCTGTGGTGGTAGGGGTGTAATATTTAGACTACTTCTAATTCAACAGATATTTTAAGCATCTGCCTAGGACAGTGTACAGTGATAAAACTTGGAGTTTTTCTGATGGAACAAGAGATATTGCCTGTAACTTTCAAGAGCTAATCAGCTGCTTTAAAGCACTCTTAAAAAACAGCATTAGCACTGAGGTACAAATTATTGATGTGCTAATTAAATTGTCAACAATTTCTTAAGCAAGTTGAGGAGGACTTCTGGAGTTCTATAGGGACTTGAAAGTAATAAAACTGAATTTTGGCAAAATTAAGTAAATTTTTCCACCAAAGGCACATTTTATACTTCCTCTATTTGAGGAGTTCTTAACCTGTAGCCTGAGAACTTGTTTTTAAAAATATTTTGATCATTGTATTTCATTGTAATTGGCTTCCTTTGTAATCCCATTTACTTTATTTTAGGCGTTTTAAAACATGGTTCTGAGAAGGGACCACAGACATCACCATATGCCAGAAAAGTCCATGATCCAAAAAAAAAAGGTTAAGAATCTCAGTGTCTATGCCTTCTTCCTGTATTCCAAATAAGATATTTGAATAAGAGTTGAGACCTTAACCTTTGGAGCAAAAGGCAACTTTAGAGATAATCTAGTATATCTTCTCCCTTTTACAGGGAATATTTACTAAAATACCTTTTTAGGAAAGCCTTCAATTTTAGAATCATTTGTTATAATAATGGGGTTCTTAACTTTTGTTATGTCATGGACCCCTTGGACAGTCTGGTGAAGCCTGTGAAGCCTTTCTCGGAATCATGTTTTTTAGTGCAGAACATAAATACGTAGGATGACAAAGGAAACTGATTACATTGAACTATAACAGAAGTGGAAAATAGAAGAAAAATAGAAAATAGGGGGGAAAAGTGTTTTTGGACCTCAGGTTAAGAACTCATTAGTTTAAAGACACAGTCTTATTGACAATCTTCTGAGAAGTATGACATACTGATAGAGCTCTGGGCTTTGAGGGAGGAAGACCTGAGTTCAAATCCTGCCTCTTATAACACCTTGGCTGTATGACTGGGCAAATCATTTTAGCCTCTCTGAATCTCTGTTTCTTTATCTGTACAATGGAGATAATACAGTACCTCCCTCCTCAGGGGTATTGGGAGGCTCCAATGAAGTAACTGATATAAATCTGTAAGTGTTATGTAAGAGTTGATCATCATTGCTGTAGCAGTGATCAGATGTACTTACTTATAATTAGGTACGTGGAAGATTGGGACATGGTACTGATCTAGTCCGAAAGTAAAAACAAACCAGCAAACAAACCACAGTCCATGTTGTTGGTGAGGTTGTCAGCCTAGACTGTAGAGAGAGCCCCTTGTTGTGACCATTCACTGGGTGTTTGGCATTTTGCAGTATTTAAAACATAGACACACACAAACTGTAGGGCAAAGCCTAAGAAAAGTAAAATTATTATTAATAAAAGTAAAAATGTTAGCTTTTCTAGTATTTTGTTTAAAGAGTTGAGGAATAACTGCAATGGTCTTTATTTAATATATTTATAGTTGGTCGTTACAGATGTTTTCCTGGATAGATTTAAAGAATGGTGCACTTAGCACAGTGCCTGATGCAGAGTTGGCATTTAATAAACATCTGTTGATTGATTATCTGTCTATTCTGTATTAGCCATGTTGGGGGGAAAAAAGCAAAAAAAAAAGTATGCTTCAATCTGCATTTAGAGTTAATCAGTTCTCTCTTTGGAGGTGGATAACATTTTCCATCATGAGTTGTTTGTAATTGTCTTGATCAGTGTTGCTAAGTCTTTCAGTTAATCATAATTATAATATTGCTGTTATTTATGTATAATGTTCTCCTGGATCTGCTTACTTCATTTTGTATCAGTTTGTGTAAGTCTTCCCAGGTTTTTCTGAAATCATCTCCCTTGTCATTTCTTTTAGCACATTAGTATTCTGTCACAATCGTATACCACAATTAGTTCAGCCATTTCCCAATTAATGGATATCTCTTCAATGTCTAATTCTTTGCCACCACAAACCTGTTCTTTCATCTTTTTGGGATAGAGACCCACGTAGTAGTTAGTATTATTGCTGGGTCAAAGTTCACGCACAGTTTTATAGCATTTGGGGCATAGTTCGAAGTCATTCTCTAGAATGGTTGGACCAGTTACAACTCCACCAACAGTGCATTAATGTACCTCTTTTTCCACATCCCCTCCGGCATTTGTCATTTTCCTTTTCTGTCATGTTAGCCAATTTGATAGGTGTGAGATGTACCACAGAGTTGTTTTAATTTGCATTTCTAGAGCTTTTTTCCATGTGACTATTGATAGCTTTGATTTCTTCTTTTGAAAATTAAATGTTTATATCCTTTGATCATTTATCAATTGGGGAATGGCTCTTATTTTTATCAATTTGACTCAGTTCTCTCTATATATATATATTTGAGAAATGAGGACTTTCTTAGCGAAACTTGCTGTAAAATTTTCCCCCCGGTTTCTTGCTTTCTTTTAAATTTTGGCTACATTGGTTTTGTTTGTATAAAACCTTTAATTTCATGTCATCAACATTAGCCATTTTTCTTCTGTGATCCTCTTTATTTCTCATTTGTTCCTAAACTATTTCCTTATCCACAGTTTTGTCAAGTAAATTTTTCTATGCTCCCTTAATTTACTTATGATATCACCCTTTATGTCGAATTTTTTTTTACCCACTTTGACCTTATTTTGGTTTATGGTATTGATCAGTTGATTATTGATGACATGCAAAGTTCAGTTGAAGAAACTGGAGTAGAGAAGATGCAGGGAGGACATGATGATAAGAGATATTTCAAGTCTTAGAAGGTCTAGCATGTCATGGAGGGATTAGACTCATTCTCTTTGGCCTCACAGGAAAGAACCAAAAACAATGGTTAGAAATTACAGAGA